AAAATACTTATGTAGATGATGTGGTTGTCTTTGGACAAACCTTTGAAGAAGTCAAAACTAAATTGGATAAGGTTACAAATATTCTCAAAAGCGGTGGCTTTATATTAGATAAATTCAGAGCCCACCCTGAAAAGGTTGAAGATATGTCAACTCAGAAAGTTTACAAACTTTTGGGACTGTCCTATTGTCCTGAGACAGATACCTTCTCATCTTGTGCTGACAAAGTTACCGAATTTGTTAATCTCAAGAGAATCACTAAAAGACAAATAGCAGGAATCATTGCTCAAATATATGACCTAATGGGATGGGCAACTCCCTTTGTTACCTTAGCCAAACTACTATTTCAGACCTTCAATGATCAACATCCCAAAGCTGTCTGGGATTCTAAACTGTCCTTGGCTGAAACACAAAAATGGAAGGTCCTAGCTGAGTCAGCAGCAAAACTAAATCAAATTAGAATTGAAAGACATCCTCCAATGGATCCTACTCTGAAAAGAGAACTGCATATATTCACTGACGCCAGTGGTCTAGCTCTTGGTGCAGCAATTTATTTAGTCTGTGGAGATCAAGTTACCCTTATTAAAGGAAAATCCAAACTTATCCCTTCCAAGCAAAGGGAAACCTGTGAAGGAGATTCAACTGAGAAATTTTGAGTGAACAGACTTGAATTATCAGCAGCCTGTTTGGGACTGAGACTTGTTCTGGAAACTATGAAGTCCATGGACATCAAAATGAACTGTGTCCATTTTTGGACTGATTCAGAGGTAGTTTTATGATGGAATAAGTCAGGAAAAATCCGATCTGTACCATATATTAGAACCAGAATTGAAACTATTCTAGGGGGATCCCTGCCCTCCAGATGGAGGCATACTCCAGGTGTTGACAATCCAGCTGATTTAGCTTCTAGAGGGGTCAAACTTGAAGACCTAACACCTGATTCAATATGGTGGAAAGGACCTAAATGGTTACCTCACCCATTAGAATGGCCAAAGCAAACCATCAAGATAGGAGTTTCTGCAGCTAGAGTCAAACCAGTAGTTTCCACCAAGATTGAGCTTACACTTGAAAAGGTTTATACAGGAATCTCAGATGATTGGAGCAGAACCATCATCAGAACCACAACCTGGTTAAAGATTAAAGAGTTTTTCAGACATAGGGCACGAGTTAACAAGGGAGTCTCACTAGACAAATCAAAAGTTGGAAAGCCCTTCCCTTCCTAATCTGATGGACTCTTTAAAAAGGGCACAGGGTTTCTGAACAACCTTGCTCCTCGCAAACTATATGAAGGCATTGTTGAAACTTTCAGGGTGGTCCAAAGACTCAAATCCCCAGAGGAATGGAATACTCTAAAAATGGGAGAGATAGTGGAAAGAAAACCAGACTTGGTTTGGAACAAAAGACTGGGTCTGATTCTTTCAGTCAGCTGTCAAGCAAGAGACAAAACTTTCAAGTCTTACAAGGGAAACCTAGCAAGATCAGCTCTCATTTATTTACCATCCCCTAAGAAAAATGACCCCCTAAACTTTGTGAAAGCATTGATGAAAACTTTTCATGAAGACTTAGGACATGCCTCTCCTAATGCCCTCCTAACCTTTATGGGGAAAACCTTTTGGATTAAAGGAGCCAGATGTCTGGCAAAAACCATAAGAAAAAATTGTACTTGGTGCAGGCGTATTGACGCCAAACCCTTTATGCCTCATTGTGCCCCTCTTCCTGACTTTAGATACAATGGTATTGTCCCATTTGCTGCAACTGGCATTGACTTTGTGGGACCTTTCAGAACACCTGATAGAGTAAAATTTTCCATTTGTGTCTTCTCTTGTGCCATGACTAGAGCCATTCACTTAGAACCAGTAATGGACCTCACTCTAAAATCCTTTATTGACGTTTATGAAACGTTTTGTAATAAAAAGGACGTTCAGCCCTCCTTGTTGATTTCAGACAACGCAGCCACCTTTAAAGCTGCATGGCCATTAATCTTACGGGCAAAACATATGCAAATAGAAAATAGACTCAGGTATCCAATGGCATTTTAACGCCTCTAGAGCTCCCTGGTGGGGAGGTTTTTATAAAAGAATGATGCGCCTAATTAAAGATAGACTGGCAAGAGTATTCAAGGGACTGCCTTACAAAAGTCCTAATGCACTAATGGCAGCTCTTTCCTATATCAAAAGACTAATAAACTCCAGACCATTAACTTACATCTCTGACAACAGAGACAATCCTATGCCTGTAACACCCTCCATGTTTATCAATCCCTATCAGGCAGATCCCTCTTTTAATCCTCTACTGCAGTGGTGCCCAACTCAAAAGTGGCCAAGGGCCACATTGAAGTAGAAGAGCATTATGCAGGCCACAATGGGAAGAGGAAGAAATTTTGTCCAGTACATTGTATAATTAATGAATTTCTGGGGTGATTTAACTTTATACTATTCTAGTTTATCAGCAATCAAGTTCTAGTCTATAATCAAGTTCAAAAAGTATTTCAAGAATTTCATTATCTGGCTATCTGACTTTTTTCATCTACAAACTTTTCTGCTTCATTTTTACTAATACAGTTCAACTTGTATCTTCATTACTTTATGACTGGATTTTTCTTAATGGANTCTTTCCCTCATCAAGATATGCAATTAAATTAAAAACATAACAGAAAATGCTGGGGTAGGATTTGAATTACAAAATTGCAAAACCCTGTCCTTTATTCTGAAAAACAGAATGACTGGCATCACAAAGCAATGCAAACTGTTCTTTCTGGCTAGAACAAATCATAACAGAATTTATGAAGCCCTAATAAAATTCCTAATCAAAATTGCTGGCTGGAGACGTCTTGAAAAACTTGCAATTTTTCCTTTTTGAGGGTCTTAATTTTTTGTGGAGGTTTTCCATGCTGGCTCCGCGGGCCAGATCAAAAGCCTCCACGGGACAGATCTGGCCCGCGGGCCTTATCTTGGGCACCCCTGCTCTACTGTATGGGCCTCCCCCCGTTCAGTTTCTGGAAGGATCCAAAATTGGTCTTGGCCACGCTGCCAAACACAGAATTAAACTTATGAAGAATATTTGGAACTTCTTTTATGAAACTTATTTACAAGAGTTAAGACAATTCCCACTCAACGGGGTCCAGAAACAAGCTTACAACCAGTTGTGGATCAGATTGTCTTCCTAAAGAAAAACTCTTTCAAAGACAACGCTCCTCTCAATAGATTGAAATGGAGACTTGCCAGAATTGTCAGTCTTCATGAAAGTCCAAGGGATGGCAGAATTAGATCTGTGGATGTGGAGACTACTAGAACCAACCCTGACAGTTCTTGTGCAAAATTCTTATTGAAAAATCATTTGGTTCAAAATCTGGTGCCTCTAGAAGCAGACTCTGAGATAACAGAAAAGAAATTCCTAACCAGCTTTGGAAGCTTTGTGAGCAAGAAACCATGAGAACAAGCAATTGAAGTTCAAAAAACTTTTATCAAACAAAACTGTGCAAAAACATGATTACAAAAAACCCTTCAACCAAGAAGAGAGACCCTTCACGAAAGGAAAACCAATTCCGCCAAAAAAAGGGGGAGTTCTTCAAACATAATGAGAAAGAGATGCCATATCTGCAAACTCTAAACCTCCCTCTCCCACAACCCAGGCCTTGTCCCCTACTTTTGATATTATGAATTTTCTCTGAGAGGAGTTTCCAATTCAAACTGATGATCCCACAACAAAGCGTCCAGACACAGCTCTCTTGGGGTCCAAGCACAAGAAGTCCGCAGAGAAGACCTCCAGGAACATCTTCTGACTTAAGATCTCGTCCATCCTGAAAGGGAGAAAAGAAAAACATTGTAAAATACTGAACTTAAAAGCATCAGTTTTTTCAAGAAACTTACTGCCTGAAAGGATCACCTCCTGATCCAATAACTGCCGGGTTGATGTGGAACAGTCCATTTCCAAAACATTCCTTAGGACCATGATCCGTAGAATGATGATGAGGAAGTCCAGGGGGAATCCCTGGAGCAGTTTTCCCACTGTCCAGCCAATACGGGCAGCTACCAGCACAAGCAAATGCCCCCCAAGTCTTGTTCAAGCACTGGGTCAACTCCAACCCAAAGCAAATAGCCTCAGCATGAAGCTGGGCAAAAAACAAATAGGCCCAAGTATGTATGTGGCCAAAGGACAACTTTGTACAATCTGACCTATCAAAAGCAGCAAGATGCCTAACTGGAGTCGGTACTGCCCACCATCCCTTCCTGCCTGGAGCCCCTTGCCTCTTCCCAATTTTAGTTTTTAAACCATTGTATAAGGCCATCTGAAAAGCATGACCGGCGCTTTCACACCCTCTTTGACTCAAAATTGGAACCCCGTTATTCCTAAGGGGAATTAGAGGAACCCCTTGCAAGTCCAAATCCATATTTTCTGTCAAATATGTATTACTCCCTTGTGCTAACGCAGGGGGAGCAGAAGCCCCCAAAGCCAGGACTGGCTCATCAAAAGCACGAGAAAGTTCATCAAAGTACCCATAGAGGGCTTGAAGAAAATGTCCAAAGTTGGGATAATGACAAATGATGTCAGGTTCAGTTAAATGCTTTAAATTGTTTGTCCCCACTCTAACAAAAACATGGGTAAAACGGAAGGAAGAACTCAAATGAAGATCCGCGTACACTCTGTTACGCATCTCCTCAGGAGAAACTACTTTTCCCTCCCCAACCAAGGCAGACCACTGCTAAAAAGGGGACCTCTGATTCAGCCCTGAATCAACTGGTTCCTAGACCCACTGAAGGATTGAAGAAGCTCAAATTGACGAAGAGCTGAATATGGAGAAGCGACATCTAATCTTCTCAAACACTTAACATGAAGCAATGACCAAAAAATTTCTAAATGGAAAACTTTTCCTACGAGGACCAACCAAAAGAAAAACTTATTTTTGACCAGAAGTACTTGGTCTCGAGAATTCAACTGAATATTTTCTTGTTGACTGTGGCACACTCAAAGTACCGAGTAACTTTTGCCAACTATGGCACACTCAAAGCACCGAGGCAAACCACCTAGAAACAAGTCGGGCAGGACTAGCTACCCTGCCCTCGGACTTGTGAAAAACTTGAAAAATCTTCGAAACTAAAAAACCACTCTCTCTTTTCAAGCACTTCAAACAACAGAAGTTCAAACCTCGTCTGGGAGCATCACCAAAATCAAGAACCTGACAACAAAGTCAACGTCCAATTCCCGACACCAGGAGCTCCTGCACTTGGCAATCTTCATTTGAACACTGTGACTTTTCGCGAAAATTCGCACCCTCTTTATTTTGCTGCGTCTTGAATTAACCCCTTCCGGAAAAGAGGTTCATTCAAGGATGCAGGGGGATTTTTGTGCGGAATTTTCTCGCGGTCCCTCTATGAAACAAGGCGCCAAATCAGAGCCGAAACTGTAATCCAATCAGCGCATCACCGGGATGCGCCTACACAAACAAAAGTTAAACGGATTCCCGCAAAAGGTTGTGCGGAATTTTCTCGCGGTCCCTCTATGAAACAAGGCGCCAAATCAGAGCCGAAACTGTAATCCAATCAGCGCATCACCGGGATGCGCCTACACAAACAAAAGTTAAACGGATTCCCGCAAAAGGGGTGTCCTGAAATAAAACGCAAAATGAATTGGCAGAACAAAAACCCTCAAGGCCAAAAAAGGAGAGCAATCCCCGGAAGCAGGATAAAACAAATCGCCGAAAAAGTCGGCGCCACCCTTTTGACAGGGGGACATCGACTCCTCTGAAAAACTCGGGCTCATTTGACTCCTCAAGACTTTGCGAAAACACAAACCAGCTGTCAAGGAAGAGACAAAAAATCTCGTCTCCTATATTCTAAAACAATTTGTCTCCCAAATTTGGGACCTCTCGAGCTGTCAAAAACTTGAGTTTAGAAATGCCCAACGGGCAACTTTATAGTTTTAACAGCCTTTGCAAACTGTCAAGACCCATGTTTTCCAGCAGAAAACTAATTTAACAAACGGTTGAAAGATTGTAAAACGTCCACCCAGTTTTTGGGAAAATACACATTTATGAAACCTTTACAAAAACAGCAGATGCTACCACCTGGTGTTTTCAAATCCGCGCAAACAAGGAGGACCCGCCAAAATTGGTGCAAAAACCGTATATAAACCCCAGAAAATTGGGTAACAAAAACAGTCAAGTTTAGAAGGTCAAACTGCTGAAGTTGTGTTCTTAAAAATTGAAATTTGGTACTTAGAAAAATTCTCCACTATCAGGGTGATTTTGAAACATCGCGATCAAAAGCTTTGATACTTTGCTTTTCTCCCCAGGTTTTTCAACCCTCTTTAGTCAAGAACAGGACTCGTACTTCTTAATTTATCTTCTCAAAAGCTGTGTGGGAATACCTTATCAAATTGGGAACTTGAATCGGTTACGAAACTTTAATTGTAAAGGAAATCAAGTCCACTTCTGGACTACTTGAAATCCTACATCTCTGATTGTTGTTGATTGCTGTGACTCTTGTATATCTGAGTGTGTATATCTTGTATTCTGTGCAAACTGTGTGTGTGATTAACTTTGTGTGTGTGTGTATCAAAGAAAGGTCTGCGCTAGTAGGGAGAAATCCCGGTTGGTTCGCGCCTGGCCAATTGCCGTGTTTTGATTTATTGAGCTCCTATCTAAAAATCCTTAAATTTGAAAACTCTGCTAAAAACTGCAATCAAGGTGTAAGGCTTGATTAATCTAATTTTCACTTATAAAACCTTACAAAAAATTGGTAGCAGAGCGTGGTTAGATCCGCGGAGAAAACTTCAAAAGGGTTTAAAATTTTGAACCGTATAACTTTACAATCTTCTCTTGAAAAGTCTGCCACTGCCTAAAAAACAACTGATCCTTTGTTGATATCTGTAAATATATATTTAAAATATTCCGTGAAGAGAAGGAAATCTTCGAGCAAACTTCTAAAAAACTCCTTGAGTTTTTTGTGTACAAAATCTAATCAAGCATCCAGAAAATCTCTTGCTGTGGTATGAAAGCCTCTATTGTTTGACCTTTTATTGTCTCAGTAAAACCAACGTTTGGTAAGAAAAAATCTTTTTCTTGTGAGTATTGTGAGTATACAAACTTTGACTCTTTTCCCGCATCTTGAAACTAATTCAAATGAAGAAACGTATATCTTGGGAAATATTTCTAAAAACCTTTTCCGTGAGATGTTAGAAAATCTTTTCCTACTTCCAATTCTCTATTCAACTCAAAGATGAGAACTGAGAGGCCTGTTACCAGGCAGCCCACTACCCAAAATCCTGGGGGGCCCAATCCAGAAAACGAACCAAATTTGGTCCCCTCTGAGCCTCTTGGAAACCAAGATTCACAAGAACTAAGGTTGACAGCTGGTTCTCCTCCGTTGACCATGCCAAATAAATCTAAAAGAAAACCTGGAAGACCTCCAAATACTCAAAGGAGGCCCCCAACTCCTCTTTCTGAGGAAGATACTAACTCAAATGACTCCTTCATCATTGGACAGGAGAACCCAGACCCATTAACCAAGCTCATGTTGCTCAGTAATTTAATCATGAAAATCGATAAGGTCATCAAAATTTCTGACGACGACTATAGTCAGTTGCAGCTCAAAAGGTTCAAGCCTGAGCTACTAGAAATTCTTAATTTCTTGAACAATCTTACTGGCAATCCTTGGTCAGCCTCCAAAAATGAGGAAGTTAAAAAGCTAACAGACCAGCTCAGCCTCATTAAAATATCCTCTTGGGAAGACATGAAAAAGGGCTGGAAATCTAACGTAAGACCTATGGTAAAAGAAATACAAGGAGTTGTCTTTCCTGACCCTCCATCTGAAAAAATCTTCTTCCAAAATCAAAAGGGGATGCTTGACCCCTCCAATCCTGCCCTAGACAGGGTCCTCAAAACCTATGGAACAGGCAATCCCTTAGCCTCCCCTGAGGAAGTAAGTTCAAGATACAAAAAGAAAAGAGACTCTCCCGCCTTTATTAGGTTTGACGGAGATCGCGACCAGGATGAAAATCTTGACAGTATTTGGGAAACTTTCAGAACAATTCATGAGGCTCCCACTAATCAAATGAAACCTGAGAAGAGAATCAGTCTTCTGAGATCTCACCTGACTGGTGAAGCCAAATACATAACTTCAATGTTTCAAGGAAGACAAAAGGAAGAAGACTACATAGCTCTAGTCAAATATTTGTTTACAAATATGGAAAGATCTCCTCTTCTGCTCAAAGGCTATATAGAGAGTTGGAAAAGCTAACCCCAAGGGTTGAGTCCCTCTCCGGAGCTGCTGAATACGCTGATTTGGCTACTAATCTTATTGGGAGAATTATCAAAGTAGAGCCGAATGCTAAATCAGTGGAAATGAGAGTTCGGCCCATTATACAAGCTAGATTAACAGCCCATATGATGATAGATAACCTGATGGCAAAAGCCTCCTATTTTGAACAACAAAAATGGGAAGCCAACCCAGAAAGAAAATACTGGTGGCTGAGAATTCAGTTAATGGATCTTGCTGAAAG